AAATTTTCATTCAACAGATTAACAGTTATACGAAAAAAAAAAATTAGTACATAGATCTTGACATTCGATTTACGGGGATAAATAAAATCTGTTATCGATGATAGTGCAAATCTAAACCATCGACATCTGTTCAACTAACTTCGTTAATGATGAAGGAGATCTCAACCATCAACATCGGTTGAACCAACTTGATTCCAATCTACAGTCACAAATAAGGCAACCGGCCATTAAAGAAAGTATGAGGAAAAAACACATAAACATTGAATATATAATTATTTTTATGTGATACGATTAGAAGTACTAACTTGATCGTCGGAGGGTCATCGGCCGGCACCCCACCGGTGTCATCCGATGTGATATAATCTCCATTGTTTTAAAAAACAAATGCATATGTGTCATATTCATACATAGTGTATTTATTAAATATCATATTCAATTTATGCTAGCATATCTATAAGATAAAAAATTAAAATAAATAAAAAATAAAAAGGGAAAAATCATGGTAAATAAAAAAATTTAGCACAAAGGTCTTGACATTTCTGGGGCCTTTGTTGGATAAATAGAATTTATTTTGATCCATTTAATTTTAAGCTACAGAAGAACAAAACGGACTCTTAGAACTCACAAGAATATATATATATATATATATATATATATATATATATATATATATATATATATATATATGGACATTCCATCTACGTTATTTGAGAAATGAATTAGACATTTGACAAACTTACCACATCAAACCAACTCAATACAGTTTTCTTATAAATTACTTGTGGTCTATTGTGTAAGTGTAATTTAAATTTTTTTTTTTTTTTTTTTGAGTAATTGAGTAAACGTAATTTCTCCATACAAATGATATCTTATCTTCCGCACTTTATCAGGTAATGTTAATTTTGTTCTTCCTTTTGATCCCATTCTAAACTTTGAAGATGCATGTGTTGCATTACTTTTATTTTTTAATATATATATATATATATATATGTTGTAATTATTAGTGTGTTATGAACTATCTTAACCTATTTTGTCTTAGTGTCAGAATTAAACGTGTATTATTGATCGAATTGTTTTGATTGGTGTGGAGTTATAAAGCTATAATGCTACACTTGTGCTACGTTTGGTGTGCAAGAATGGAATGGAATGCAAGTGGGAATGGAATGAGAATGAGAATGGAATGGAATGATCATTCTCATTCTGTTGTTTGGTTGTAAATATGAAATGTGTAGGAATGGAATGATAATAACCATTCTAGTGTTTGGTTGGACCAATTTAAAATTTAGAATGGAATAAATTTTTAATTAAATTCTCCAAAATTAACAAATAACAAAATGATATTCTTTAATAATTTTAAAAAATAAATGGTGGCAGTGGCAGTGGTGGATGGTGGAAAGCGGTAGTAGTGTAGGTAGTGGTGTTGGAGTGCAGCGATGGTGGCAATGGTGGAAATTGGTGGTAGCAATGGTGGTAGAAGGTGGCAGTGGTGTTGGTGGAAGGTGGTGGCAGTAGGGTGGTGGAAGGAGATTATGGTGTGACTATAGTGGTGGTGGAAGGCGATGGTGGAAGGTGGTGGCAGTGGTGATGGAAGGTGGTGGTGGTAGTGGTGGTGGCGGAAGGTGGTGGTTGTGGCAATGGTGAAAGGTGGTGGCAATGATAGAAGGTGGTGAAAGGCGATGGTGGAAGGTGGTGGTGGTGGTGGCGGTGGTGGAAGGTAGTGGTGGCGGTGGTGGTGGAATGTGGTGGTGGTGAAAGGTGGCGGTGGTGAAAGATGGTGGTGGTTGTTGAAGGCGGTGGTGGAAGGTGGTGATGGTAGTGAAAGGCGGTAGCAGTGGTAGTGGTGGAAGGTGGTAGCAGTGGTGAAAGGCGATGACGGCGGTGGTGGTGGAAGGTGGTGAAAAGCAATGGCAGTGGTAGTGGTGGAAGGTGGTGGCGGTAGCGGTGGTGAAAGGCGATGGCGGTGGCGGTGGTGAAAGGCGGTAGCGGTGGTGGTTGCGGCAAATAGTGGTAGTAGCGATGGTGAAAGGCGGTGGCGGTGGCAATGGCGGTGGTAGTAGTGGTGGTGGAAAGTGGTGGGCGATGGTGAAAGTCGGTAGTGGTGGAAGGCAGTGGTAGTGGTGGTGGTGGTGAAAGGCGGAGATGATTGTGGTGAAAGGTAATGGTGGTTTTTAAACTTAGAATATGAGGGTGTTTTGGGAAGTCAATTTTTTAAAATAAATTACTTGAGAATGGAATGGCCATTTCATAGGTTTAGTTGTGGAATGGATTTTCATTCCACCATTTCCACTTTAAGTTACATACCAAAGAAAGGAATGGTTGGAATAGGTATTCCATTCCTGCACACCAAACGTAGCATTGGTGTGCAAAAATGGAATAGAATGGAATGCTCATTCCAACCATTCATTTGTTTGGTGTGCATGAATGGAATGGAATGGAATGGTCATTCTATTGGAATGAAAATCCATTCCAAAGAACGAAAATTCATTCCATTACTAAACCTATGGAATGGCCATTCCATTCCACAGTAAGATTAAATATTTTTATAATATTCTTAATAAGCCCTTCATCACATTTCAATAAGGCAAAAATCTTTCGTATAGACAAAAAAATATTTCACATTCCATTTTTCAACTTCTTTATTAGACGTGGTAAAGGTCTTTCAACTTCCATCTCTTCAGAATATACCTAGGCTACCATTGACAAAAAGTTGCAGGATCTTCAACCAAATTGCAAGTATTAATCTCTTTATCTTTTGAGTATATCACTTTTTATTTTTTATTTTTTATTTTTTATTTTTTTTATTTTATCTTTGTGTTGAAACGTTTGTGTGATTTCTCAATCTTTCTCTCTTTGAATATTTATATATGAAGTAATGATAATATAAAATAAAAATTAACAACCATCTGGAGTCAAAAATAATATTTTATGTTATTTTAAGGTTTTTCTTTATTTTTTTCAATGGCAGTATTGGACATCTTATAATATTCCATAATTCATAATATTAATTAGATTTTTGTTAAAAAGTAATGAAAGCCATTGGAAAGGGTATTTTTGACAAAAATCATTCCATTCGAGATTTAATAATGGTCAACCAAATAATAGAATAGTAATAATCATTCTATTCTATAACGATTCACCATGTCACACCAAACAATGGAATAATATTCTCATTTCATTCCATTTTCATTCTTATTCCATTCCGAATTGCATTCCATTCCATTATTGCACACCAAATGTAGAAGTGTCTGTTTGCTAGTTGCTTTGTTTGAAAAAAACGTGATTTGAGAGTAAGTCATCATTGAATGAGGTTACAATGGTGATTGCAAGGACTTTTTCGAATAATGCTGATGATCTTCTTAAATTCCACAGTTAGGTAAGTCTGACAGATTGAAACTTTAAGTTCAAAATAAAAAAGCATGACCTAATTTAGTCTTTATGGACTTGCAATCAAAAACTATAATCTAGTAGTCGTTTTTTAATTTTTAAAGTAAAGGTTGATAACACGACACAATATTTTATATCATCCACCAAACTCCGGGACTATGTTTATATAGAGAGAATATTCATTATTGTAAATCGAAAAAGATTATATACAATCTGATGTTAAAATCACACTGACTCGCTTATCATCTCTTTTGAGACTACGTGTTGTACTCGGGAACTAGATATATTTTCTCTTCTTCTCACAACACTCACCATTCCCTTACATCTTCTCTCTCTCTCCCTCCCTCATCCATGTCTATGTATAGAGTCGACAAGAAGTCCACGACTTGCCTATAATAAGTTACTATATTAGTTACAACTCTTAAATAGAAGCCTGATATGCCACAAATTCCTTCTCTTATCTGCAATCTTCACCTCACCTCAGTTAGACTGTTTCAAATAATTTGAATAGGTTCATCTTCAATTTTCATCCCAGTTGATCTAGTTCTAAATCACTGAATATACATCTAATTCAAAAACCCTAGACTCTCATAGGTGACCTCAAATAAATCCCATGCTTCTTTCTAAGTAGTGCAAGTAAAGATCCTAAAAAACTTTGATGGGACAACTATATTAAAAATAGCATACAAACCTTTTCTATTTGCATTGGCAGACTCAATTTTTGTTGGGGTCCATAAATATGGTACCTTTTCAACAGTAACTCTATTAACCCCTTCTCCAGAAATAGCAATTAGGGGCAGTAACACACAACCTTCTTCTACAACCATCAAAACCTAAGTTACATCGAGCGGGAGTGCAAAAGTAGCAAAATCTAAAATTTAGTCATAATCAGGGGTGGAGCCAATGCATGCCTCTGGGGGGGGGGGGGGTGGGGGGGTAAAAAAAGTTTGTGGAAGATATGAGATTGCATATGTGGACATGGATTTGGAAATAGTTTTGATGATGGGAAGGCTATCCTAGATTTTGCGGCATATAATCTTATAATAAGGAATTCATACCTATTTTCAAAAGATAGATGAAGACTTAATAATTTTTAAAAGTAGATCAAATGCAAGTTAAATTGATGTTTGTATCCAAAAGAATTTAATATCACAACAAAGACTTTTATTTTGAATTTATATTAAATAGGACAATCTAGTAGGAGAAGAAGAATCATAAATCTGAGGACTTATGAAGCATGGACACTCCTCCCAGGATGTGCATTACTAAGGTATAAGGATGGATGCTTACATTGTTTTGAACGAGACTTGGTCCTAGCTGCAGGAGTTGTAGGAGGAGGCTGACTTGCTGGCTTGACAGGTTCAGTCTCAAGAATGCGAGCAGCTGAGAGAGGAATAGATGGAATTGGGTCTCCTCCTTGGAAGGCAAGGGAAATAAACTTGTACGATCCAAGGAGAGTACGCACAATTTGGGTGGATTCCTTTGTCCTGGTGGAATTAATGTATGCTGATCACCAAGTTTCAAAACTAGGATCAGTATGAGGTTCTTTATGAAATGGCTTGTATTGGAAATCTTGCAAGAGTTGCTGAAACCGATTAGTCACATCTTTGATTGTCCTATTGGAAATCTTTGACATAACTCCTATCCATATGATCATCAATCACACCCTCCAAGAATTCATCCACCTCGTTAAAAACTCTCTCCACTTTAGCATTCAAACCATTAATTTGATTCAACCACACAAGCCAAGGAATATAGCCCCCCACATTGAAAACACCCGTTAGTTCCCCAATATCAACCAAAATCTCATTAAAATTTCTTCCACTTTTCGAGCTTTCACTGTACTTCCTCCCCAAGGCTATCCGACACACTACGTCATTCGTAAGTGAACCAAACATTTCACTCAAATTCACCACCGAAGAAGAAGAACAAGCCCTTTTGATCTTCTCGGTCAAAAGGGTTGTTTCTTCTTCTCTCACTCTACGGTAAAACTGAACTCGCCCATTACTCAGAAGGTTGAGCACACAAATGCTTTTTACTTGCCTCCAATACTCTCGATAAGGAGTGAATGCGACGTCCTTCCCATAGAAAAGTCTGCTGGCAATGCCTGCGAAGATGAGATCGTATGTTTTCATGACCTCGCGAGCTACAACTGCAGAGGAGACGATGAGAGCCGGTTTGCTGCTGAGGTGTAGCAGCATGGTTGGTCCATATTGTTGAGCTAGTGATTGGAGAGCACGATGAAGGAGCACACCAAGTTGATGGAGGTTTCCGATAATTGGTAGCTTTAGTGGAGAAGGAGGAGGATTTCTTTGGGATTTTGCAGTGGACAGCCATTTGAAAAGGAAGAATACTGAGAACAGTGGAGGGGAGAGTAAAATAGAATATCCAATAAGAACGCCATAATTTCTTGGTCTGGAGAGTTAATCCCAGTTATATCCCTAAGAACAAGTAATCTACTCAGAGTGTGTGTATATAAAGAGAGAGAGTTTTGACTTCCAAGGTGGGCTAAATGGATCAGGGTCTTTCTTATTGTTTTTTTGTCTTGTGACTGCCGTATAAATTTGAATTAACAATACAACAATTATAAATTGAGAATATATTAACTTTAAATCGTTAATGTAAGAATTTTATTTTGACAACCCAACAACTACATATTTATTAAATATTGTAAGTTTGATCCTTTCATCTAAATGTAATTTTTATCCGTTTTGGTACTCTTTGTTGTTGATCTCTGTGCTTCTGCTGGTCAAATACACAATTGAACAAATTTCAGATATCATGAATAATATATATATATAATGAGTAACTGATTGTTATGTTTTTTTAGTTACTTTTTTTTCATACTTAGATGACATTCAATGGTCATAATGCTTGTATGAAGAAAGTTTTTTCCTAATCTGTGTGCAGGAGATTATTTCTGTGTATATGATATTTATGTACATTTTTCAATCACTGGTTTAACACAATATATAATAAAATGAGATGTTCTCTTTCTGAATTGTAAATATAACCAAAAAAAAATTAGGTTTCTTTCCTCTCTCTTTTTTTCATATTTTAAATTTAAAAAATACATGTGCAGTCATGTCCTAGTACAATGCAAGACTTGCTAGTAGTTGAAGGAGTTCCTTGCAAGATCAAAGAGAATCTATTAGATAGTAGTTAAGTATGTGTCACTTGGTGATCAAGTTTAATCAAAATTAAGGTATGTCATATTACTATGTTGGTTCACTAATGACAATGGCCCAGAATAATTAATCAAATGTGGTTCATATGCATACTTTAGGTGGGACCTTAACAAATTAAAAGCAACAACACAAACATTTTGTGTTGACGCTAAAATCGGCTCCTTAGATCCGATTCGGAATTGATGTAATATAGGAGTGCCAAAACCAATTGTATGGCTCGAGTGTGAGTTGTCAACTTGTAGTCTCTTTGATAATATTGATTATCAGATGATGCGAGGATAAAGAGAATAGTAAAACTCCTCTTTGAGTTCAAGAATTGCCTTAATTAGAAGGACTTTTAATTGAATAATTTATAGTAACGCTTGAGAGAATAGATTGGGGAGAAACAGATATAGAAAGAAATATTGAGAGAAAGATTGAGAGAGAGAGAGAGAGAGAACGAGATATTGAGAGAGATAGATATAGATAGAAAAAATAGCAAGGATGCTATTCTAGGAAAGACTTGAGAAAGCAAACAAAATAATATAAAGATTTCTGAGGGTGCTCGACCTCGATCTCAGCATGCCTCCATGTTTATTTATAGAATAACGTAACCAGAAATCCTATACAAGTATTCTAATTGTATTATAACTCTATGATATAACTGAATATTTATTCAAATTAAACTATCTTAGATAAATAAAGGTACTTGAATTTAAATTAACTAAAAGATAACTACCAAAATTACAATCCCTATCTATCCTCTAATTCAAAATGTGTCTTTGTGTGCAAATTGAATTCTATGTAGAAACATACAACTCCACAGTAGAATCAAGATATACCCACATCATCGGGCCACAGTCCAACAATACACATATATTCTCAGCCCATATAACCCACATACCAAGTTGAATCTTTTTTCACAGCCCAAACTCTTGCCATGTCGCTGTACTTTAAGCCCACTTGTGATCCAAGCCTAATTACCAAAATGGGTGTCAACAATGCCCCCCAATTTTGGTAACCGTTTTAACACTTCGGCTTCCAAAATTCAAACAACACCCATTGCACTGTAAACACGTGTATACCATATAATCTCCTAAGTATCATGATGGTTGTAATTTCCAAAAAATGCCGATTCCACTAATCTATCCTTTCAACCATTAATTCTGCATCAAACCCTCTGTCTTCCATTACCTCACGTCTCTTCTTCAAACATAAACCAAAACTCTTCATTTCGTACCAACAAAACTCTCTTCTGTCAAAGTATTTATTTCCTTCTGCAATTGAATCTCCTTTATCCTTCAACTATATATGTCTTCTAAACTCCAAAAGCAAAATTCAAATTTAAACTTAGAAAACCCTTTTCCTGAACCCTCATCCCATACTCAAATGACCAAATCAGCGGTTAAAACCCTAATCGCTCCTGAAATAGAAACGTCAATTTTAATTGACATCACAGATAACGTTAAGGGGCTTGGCCCAACGTTTAGCCATCTATTGCATTCGTCACTATCCCTTTTTTATCCCCAAGCGGAAAAATATCTCCTTTTTGTAAAACCAATATACCTTATTGCTAAATGGGAAAAACTGGCCCTTTCCATCAGGAATTGGCATCCGTCGATGCTTCAATGGAGTGAATGGGTTGATCGTGTTTCTACAACCAAGGGTGACTTATGGAAATGGATGGGCATTTTCGACATCATTCAACTCAGTAAGATCCCTTTTCTTTAGATAGACCTCTGTTCTTTGCTTTTTCACACTTTTGGTCTCTAACCATAAATTCTTTGCGTTTATATTATGGTTTGATGGCCCCTACCCTGCGAGATGTTTGTTTCTTAACTGGTTTAAAATCGGGAGGAGATGACATTAATTATCTCCTCCAAGATATAGAAACTACTTTTTCTTTTCCAGAGCAAGAGGGCTCAAAACCCCACATTCAATCTCATGGCCCATTCTTGAAAGAAATGATAGGAAAACCTGGCACTGAAGTAAGTGACCAAGAGCACATAGGGTTTCTATTGCTTTGGTTATGTAGATATTTACTTTGTGCTCCTATAATTCAGATAACAAAACATCTTACCCAACTAGCAATAGCCTTATCAAAAGGAAAATCTATGGCATTGGCTCAATTTCTCTTATCATCTTTGTACAAAGGTTTGTCAGACCTATTATGTTGAACTTTTTGAGGTTGAGAGGACCATTCTGGTTGTATCAGTTTTGGCTGTATGCGTATTTTCCTGAAGTGGCACCTGAGATACAACTTGTTACAGATGATCCCCTGGTATCATTTGGTTTTGCAAAAGCAAAACCTAAGGATCATTTATTCCCATATTGCTTTCATTTTTTCTATCATCAATGTAAGGATAGATCTCGGTCCCAATTTCTGCCTTTTTCAAGGTGCAAATTTGCCCTATCTTGGTTGTTTCCTACTATTGCCGATTCCTCGGCAGAGCAAATAGAATCTTACAACTTGTCATGGGGTTATTTTCTTATTGCAAGAGATATTCCTTGTAACACTGTGGCTCCCTATCTTGCAAAAAGTCAAACTGGGGTGGAGTTCTACAACCCTGCTCAATTAGCCCGATAATTTAGGCTAACTCAAATGATTCCATTGCCTCCCCACTTTTCTTATAACAAAAATTTTAACCGGAGAGTCAAATTATTAGACAGCGAACAAATCAAAGATGTGACTAATCGGTTTCAGCAACTCTTGCAAGATTTCCGATACAAGTCATTTCATAAAGAACCTCATACCGATCCTAGTTTTGAAACTTGGTGGTCAGCATACATTAATTCCACCAGGACAAAGGAATCCACCCAAATTGTGCATACTCTCCTTGGATCGTACAAGTTTATTTCCCTTGCCTTCTAAGGAGGAGACCTAATTCCATCTATTCCTCTCTCAGCTGCTCCCATTCTTGAGACTGAACCTGTCAAGCCAGCAAGTCAACCTCCTCCTACAACTCCTGCAGCTAGGACCAAGTCTTGTTCAAAATAAAGTAAGCATCCATCCTTATACCTTAGTAATGCACATCCTGTACATATAGCTAGTACAAGGTGTATGCAGATAGTGGGGTAGCTGAGTGAATAACTACTTACATACAACAAGTGGAGATGATGAGCTAGTGTGTGTGGATTGGTTGTGAAAACTAGTATCTATTCTTGTACAAGGGTGTGTGTAGAGGGTGAGACAGCTGAGTGTGTAACAAGGTTCATACAACTAGTGGAGGCTTTTATTGGCTGAGGCCAAGAACCAAGGTTTTTCCCTATTGAGAGGGTTTCCTTGTATACCTTGTGTTTTGTGCCTTAATTGACTTCATTGTTTATATCTCTTGTGCTCTACATGTTTATACTTAAGTGAAAAAGGTGGAATTTGACCTAAGACCAATTCAACACCCCCCCCCCCTCTCGGTCTAACAAACTCTTGTGGGGCTATTATAGTAGCAAAAACTAGACTAGATCCTAACATTTGGCACCAGAGGTTAGGTCACATGAGTGAAAAGGGGCTCAAGATTATGCACTCAATGGGAAACTACAGGGCTCGAAGTCAGTTGATATTGATTTTTATGAAAGCTGCGTTCTTGGAAAGCAAAAGAAGGTTAGTTTCAAGATAAATGGAAGAAACATAAGAAAAGAGAAGCTTGAGTTAGTTTATGTGGATATCTAGGGGCCAACGACAATCTAATCCATTATCAGCAAGTCTTATTTTGTAACTTTCATCGATGATCATTCTAGGAAGGTATGGGTTTACTTCTTGAGATATAAAGCTAAAGTGTATGAAATGTTTAAGAAGTGCAAGGTCATGGTGGAGAATAAGGTGGGTTTAACAATCAAGAGGTTGATATCAAATAATGATGGAGAATATGAAGACACTAGGTTTAAGAAGTTCTGTTATCAGAATGAGATCATATTAGAAAAGACTGTGCAAGGAACCCCATAACAAAATGGGGTGGTTGAACGGATGAACAATAACCTTGACAAAGAGAGCCAGAAGCATGCAAATACATGCAAGTCTACCCAAGCAGTTTTGGGCAAAGATAGTCAATACAGCAGACAACAGCTCACTTGATTAACCAAGGACCATACCATTAGAGCGGTAAAGAGATAAATCTTTCTTATCTACGAGTATTTGGTTGTATTGCATATGCGCATATTAGTGACCATACTAGGGTTAAACATGACCCTAAGTCACAAAAATACACTTTCATTGGATATGGTGAAGATGAGTTTAGTTATCGACTTTGGGACAAGCAAAATAGGAAACTCATCAGAAGTAAAGATGTGGTATTTAATAAAAGGGCGATGTAAAAGGATAGAGATGTAGCACAGTCTCCTACCCAAGTATAGAGTGATCCACAATATGTTGATTTGGGTGATATCCCAGAGAGTAGTGTAGTACAACAGATAGTTAAGAGCTCTTCAAAAAAATCACACAACAAAGTGCACCACAAAGTCCAATTCCTACTCATGTTCCTTGAAAATCCTTTTGTCCTCATGTGCCAAACATAAAGTTTTTAAATTATTTGTTACTCACAGATGATGTTGAACTTGAATGCTATGATAAGGCATGTCAGGCTGAAGATGTTAGCAAGTGGGAGCTTGCAATGAGAGATGAGATGAAATCTCTTATCTCCAACAACACATGGGAGTTAGCTATGTTACCCATGGGGGAAAAAAGAACTTCACAACAAATAGGTGTACAAGGTCAAAGAGTAACATGATAGTTCCAAGAGGTACAAGTCGATATTATAAGTAGTCAAAGGCTTTCATCAAAAAGAGAGACTTGACTACACATACATCTTTTCAGTGGTTGTAAAATTGACTACCATTCGGTTGATCCTAAGTGTTGTTGCAGTAGAGGATTTGAACCTTGAGCAATTACATATGAAAACTACTTTCCTCCATGGTCACCTAGAGGATGAGATTTATGTGCAACAATCGGAGGGTTTCTTAGTCAAAGGGAAAGAGAAACTAGTGTGCAAGTTGAAGAAAAACTTGTATGGTTTGAAGCAAGCCTCAAGGCAGATGTACAAAAAGTATGGTGGGTTTATGAAGCAACATGGCTACTACAAGTGCAACAACAAGAGGTTTAAGAGGCTCAAGAAGTTTTGATAATTCTTACATGCTTTTTTTGCTAACAATATCAATAAACTCCACCATTTTTTCATCATACAAAGATCAATATTAAAACCCCAAGGAGAGAGAAGATAATTAATACAAAGTAGAGGAAGAAAATGTTGGAAATGACCCAAAACATTAATTGGGGAGAGGAGGGAGATAGAAGATACATTTCCATAATTAAAAGGATAATTGTGGAATTTGAAAAAAAAAAATTATTTATTTATAAAATTAGGGAAAGAAGTGACGTTTTCTTTAAGAGTGTAGTACAATCTTAGAAAAGTGAAGTAGGAATATCGCCCCCCATTATTTTAAGCATACACTTATTTTTTATACTGGTCATAAAGGTTTACAAAGTACAATTTCCATCCATTATGGAGCAAGTACATGACTAGCAAAAGAATATGGCGTTGCAACAAGAAGTAGAGGATATTTTTTGTGGACGCTTATACCAGGGGCTTCAGTCATGTCAAAATCCTCTTCTGTTGTCCCATCTGGCAATGTAAAATCAAACTTATGAATAAGATTTGCTAGTGCAAGCTCATTGACACTTATGGCAAATTGGATGCCGGGACAACCCCTACGGCCAGCTCCAAATGGAATAAACTTGAAGTCGTGCCCTTTAAAATCTACAGAAGTACTCAAGAACCTCTCTGGCCGGAAATCTTCAGGGTCTTCCCACAGCAATGGGTCTCTCGCAATTGCCCATGCATTAATAAACACTTGTGTGCCAGCTGCAATGTCGTAGTCCATTACTTTGACATCTTGGGTTGATTCCCTGGGAACTAGTAATGGGCTTGGCGGATGTAACCTCATAGACTCCTTGATCACTGCTTTCAAGTATTGCATTTTCTCTAGATCATCCTCCGTTATTTCTAGTTTGTCTCTGGTTATTCCTCGCACCTCATTTTGTAGCTCTTTCATGACCTGTGAATGTCTTAAGAGTTCAGTCATTGTCCACTCTAGAGCTGTGGATGTAGTATCAGTTCCAGCACCAAACATATCCTACAAGAAACAAAAGAAAGGTAACAGAGGCTACTCAGAAGAAGAAAAATTAACAAAATAAAGTTTGGAAGTTCTTTTTTCCTGGTAAGAACCGACACTTTTGCTTAAAAAGGTTTAGAAAGTCATTAAGCTTAGGAAAATATTTTTAAAAGCATATCAATTAATTAGTATTCATGAAAAAAGAAAAAGAAAAAAGCATAACAATAAGTCAGTATACTTTATTGGATAAGATTAATTGCAAATAATAATTTGTATAGGCTTTCTGCGCGCATTCACAGCAATGGAGTTGAGAAAAGTAATTCATGTGTTGGTTGGAAATTTGGAATGACAATTGCAACTAAGTTAAGATCAATTGATATTAAAATTAAGGAGCTAAGTAATCATCTAGACTACCAAGACATTAGTCTAACTGTATAACCTCTCCTCCCCCAAAAAAAAAGGGTAAAGGTTCAAACCCACCGTGGTTATTTGTGCGTGAAAAATTATAATGATAATAGTAATTCTTATTCTTACCTAGTTGACACCTTTGATGCTGTGTCTATGAAGAGAAAAGTCGACCATGTTTTCTCTTTGAATTTCCACAAAGTCGTCCTGTTTTTTGTCTTGATCAACACTCCCACCCCCACATCTCTCTTTTCTTACTATCTATCTGATCTTCAATCACATCCTCCAAAAATTCATCAATCTCTCTAGAAACTTTCTCCACTCTAGCATCCAATCCACTTATTTGATTCAACCACACAAGCCAAGGAATATAGCAGTACTTCCACAATATCTCCTAAAAGCTCCTTAAACTTTCTACCACTTTTTGAGCTTTCACCGTACTTCCTCCCTATGGCTACCCGACTGTAAGACTGAACTCACCTATTACTCGATTATAACAACACTTAGATAATTGATTGAACCTATATTGGTCCATTCTTCATGAGATTGATTAAATTTTGAAAAAGAGAGGCAGTCAACTTACCAAGATGAGAGCTTTGATGCTGTCCCTATGAAGAAGAGAGTCATCCATGACCTTGCTTTCTGTTTGAATATCAAGCAAGACATCCACGAAGTCCTGCTGTTGATTATCTTGATCAACACTCCTATCGCCATTGCTCTCTTTTTCCTTTCTATCCATATGATCTCCAATCACACCCTCCAAAAATTCGTCGAGCTCTTTAGCAATTTTCTCGACTCTACCATTCGCACCGTTGATTTGATTCAACCACACAAGCCAAGGGATATAGTCCCCCACACTGAATTCACCCAATAGTGCCGCAGTATCCCCCAAAAGATCCTTAAACTTCCTACCACTTTTTGAGCTTTCACTGTACTTCCCCCCTAAGGCTACCCGACAAACTACATCATTCGTAAGTGAAACCAACATTTCACTCAGATTCACTGGTGAAGAAGAAGAAGAAGAAGCTGATTTGATCTTCTCGATCAAAAGTGCTGTTTCTTCTTCTCTCACTCCACGGTAAGACTGAACTCGTCTATTACTCAAAAGGTTAAGCACACAAATGCTTTTTACTTGCCTCCAATACTCTCCATAAGGAACAAATGCGACGTCCTTATTATAGAAAACTCTACTGGCAATGCTCAATTTAGGTCTGTTTGAGAAGATGAGATCATGGGTTTTCATGATCTCGCGAGCTGCATCAGCAGAGGAGACGATTAGAACTGGCTTGCTGCCGAAGTGAAGCAGCATGATGGGGCCATATTTTTGCGCTAGTGATTGGAGGGAGCGATGAGGGAACACGCCAAGTTGGTGGAGGTTTCCGATAATTGGGAACTTTGGTGGAGAAGGTGGTAGATTTCTTTGGGGTTGTGAAGTGGACAACCATTTGAAAAGGAAGAATATGGAGAAGAACAATAGGGGAAGAGAGTAAAAGGGAAGATGCAATAAGAACACCATAACTTGTTGCTCTGGTATTTCCTCACGAACAAATCATTTACTTAGAGCATATATAGATTCTACTTCTAGGGTGTCCTAAATGGATTAGGATCTTCTCCTTTTCCTCTCAACAAGTGCCGTCCATTTCAATGGACAACACAACAAATATAAATTTATAATATAATAACTTTGAATTGTCAATTCAAGAATCTTAAATCATCAACAACGCAACAATAATGCATGTATTACTATTCAAACAAAAAAACCGTCACAAACAATCACGTATATATTAAATCTTATAATTTTAGGTTTGTCACCTTGATTTGGTTGTCAATTTATAGGAATGTGATATTGACATTTCATGTTTTATATTTGCACTCATTTAATTTTTATCTTTCAACTAAAATATCTTTAATGCATTATTTTTTATTTTTAAAGATAAATTGCAGCGACACCCTCTCAAATTTGTCTAAAAGACAGATATATACAACTTAGGTCATTTGAGACAATGACGCCCTCCAAGTTTACAAACTTAACCCATCCCATCCTATAAAAAAAACAAAAAGGACCAAAACACAACTTTAATTGACATGAAATGTGTAATATGTCCTAACATATATTTTAATTCTATTATAAAATGACCAAATTATCCTCTCCTAATCTTTCTCTTTTCAATTCTCGTCTCTCTTTCTCAACCCTCCCCGCATCCTTGTTGCCACCGCAACGGTGAGACGAGACTGAGTCGGCTGAACGACTTTCTGTATTCGTAAGTATGAGGGGCCATTCCGCTGATAGGCAGACTATTCCACTATAGCAGAGTACCTGCTGCATCTCTTGCTGTTCCATAACAAGTTGCAGATTCATACCTTCGGATCTATGCCACGAAGCTCAACCGGTCTCCACGCCCCGTCCTTGCTTTTTTACACTAAAAAGCAGCCAACGGATTCGCCTACTCAAGAATCAAAATCAGAAGACCAGACCCTTTCACTCACCTGATGCTCAAATGTACCTAATTTCTTTTCGCTCGATAAACGATTTCATGATCTCTTCCATCGCCGCCGATTTAATCCAGTTCTTCACAGCTTTTTGCCTCCGCCAGCATACTTCGATCTCACAGCTGACCGCCGACAGTCCATCCCATTCGCCGTCCGCCGATTCAGTCACCCGTCCATCGCCGAACTCCCTCATCCTCGCCGGTCCGTCACCACCGCTGCACCACCGGGCGAGCTCGCCTTCGAGTCAACCGAGCTTCTTCATCACGACCGAGTCAACCGAGCTCTCCACTGTCCAAGCTCTCTTCACGGCCTAATCATCCACGGCCGAACCATCTCGTCGCCAGATCTGATGCCGGACAACTTCCTCGTCGACGACAAAGGCGATTTGAAGGTTGCGGATTTCGGACTCAATGATGGGGTGGTGGCTGGTTCATTTGGGGTGATTGTTGACAGTGGTGGTGACTGATGGGTTGAAACTGGTTGTGGATAGTCGTGGTGGGTGGGTTGAAACCGTTTGTGGATAGTCGTGGTGGGTTGAATTTGTTTGTGGGTGTGATAGGGTGGTGGGGTGTGTGTAAGAAAGAGAATAAAAAATAAACACAGAGTTGATGGTCATTTTAGTCAATCCATAAGAAATTATAAAGTTAATTTAGTCGATTTTGAAGTCCAATGGTAAATATGTACTTTCATCACGTTGGGTGTCATTATTTCAAAGTAGTCTAAGTTGTATTTGCCTGTTTTTTAGCCAAAGAGGTATCACTGCAATTTAATGTATTTTGTAAAATGCAATAATTATCATTTATACTATAAACTTTAAACTTTTTTATCTTATTTATTTTCTTTAGTGCAATGTTTATTTTAGATTATGTTAAAAGAAATAATTTATTCAACATAAATTACTTATTTTTGATAATTTATTTATTTATTATTTTTTGAGGAGGAAGGCAGGAGTGTCAACAGATATAATAATTTTTTATCCCAAAAGATAATGTTTCAACAAAGATAACTCTTCTTTCAAATTTTTTTTTATTTTTATTTTATTTTTTTAAAAAATTTGTCAAAATAGATAATTTATTCAATAAAGAGAACCTTTTTTTTTGTCATGCCAAAAGATAAAATTTATTCAATTGAGATTATATATATACATACATGCATATATTTTGGGTTCTTTGTTGTGTTTGTACTTTTTATTTTAGAGTTGTGTCAAAATAAATAAATTATTCAAGACAAAATTTTTATTATTTTTCTTTTTTGTTTCTAAATGAAATAAGTACATGCCTGTGTTCACACTCTCAACTTTCTTTCTAACGGGACTTGAACCATCAATCAATTAAAAAAATGTTTCCGTTTAGAATATTGGACCATTTATAACGTAGTCAAACCAACTCTGCCGCCATCTTTGAATGTTTGTAACCTTACCATAGTCTTTAAAGAATCTTGACAAATTGGGACGCAAACTGATCTTCCAAAAATGTTTTGTTTTAAAATATTACACCAGCTCTGTTGCCTTTTTTGAATGTTTCTAAACCTATCATATTCTCTCACTTCCATTTGACTTGGGGTTTTATGAAGACATTAAGCTTGTAATTAAGACTTTTGAGAAATTTCTCAATGATTTTGCTGTTGCACATTCGAATTACATAACAAAATGTTGTGGTCTCAAATTTAATCATATAATAAAATATGATGAAATGCAATGAAATTTACTATGTAACCATATATAATAAAATAATGTCATATTCATACATAGTCCCGGTAGTTAATAAATATCATATTCAATTTATGCTAACATATAAAATGATGATGATGATGATGATAATAATAATAAAAAGAGTCATATTCAAGCGGTGTTGGTACATATATCTTGCTACATTTTAATTTTAAGTGACATATATGGTATAAAATGTTCATTCAACAGATTAATAGTTATACGCAAAAAAAAATAAAAAAAAATAATAAATAATAATAATAATTTTGTACATAGATCTTGACATTCAAATTCACGGGGATAAATAAAATCTGTTATTGATGATAGAGCAAATCTCAACCATCGACATCAATTCAACTAACTCCATTAATTATGAAAGAGATTTCAATCATCGACATTGACTGAATCAACTTGATTCCAATCGATAACCATAAATAAGGCATCGAGCGAGGAAAAACCTAAACATTGAATAAATAAAAAAATAATTTATGTTGTAAGTATTAGTGTGTTATGAACTATCTTAACCCATTTTGTCTTAATGTCAGAATTAAACGTGTATTATTGGCCGAATTGTTTTGATTGGTGTGGAGTCATAAAGCTATAAGTGTCTATTTGCTAGTTGGTTTGTTTGAAAAAAAAAAATATTTGATTTGAAAGTAAGTTGTCATTGAATGAAGATAGGATTTGCTAGTTGGTTTGTTTGAAAAAAAAAAATATTTGATTTGAAAGTAAGTTGTCATTGAATGAAGATAGGATGGTGATTGCAAGGACTTTTCCGAGTAATGCTGATGATCTTCTTATATTCCACGGTTAGGTTCAACAGATAACAGATTGAAACTCAAGTTCAAAATAAAAGAGCATGGCCTAATTTAGTCTTTATGGACTTGTCATCAAAAACTATAATCTAGTAGCAGTTTTTTAATTTTTAAAGTAAACAATGATAACGTGACAGAATATTTTATATGATTTACCTAATTTTAGAATTATATTTATAGAGAGAGAATATTCACTATTATAAATCAAGAAAGATTATATAAAATATTTCGATGTTAAAATCACACTAATTCGCTTATCATCTCTTTTGAGACTACGTTTTGTATTCGGGAACTAGATATACTCTCTCATCTTCTCACAACACTCACCATTTCCTTACATCTTCTCTCTCCCTCCTTCATCCATCTCTATGTATAAAGTCAACAAGAATTCCACGACTTGCCTACAATAAGTTACTGTATTAGTCACAACTCTAAAATAGAAACCTAATATGCCCCAAATTCCTTCTCTTATCTGCAATCTGCACCTCACCTTAGTTAGACTGCTTCAAATAATTTGAATACACTCATCTTCAATTTTCATCCCAATTGAACTAGTTCTAAATAACTTGAACATGTCCATCTTATGCAGAACACTGTGCATACATCTAATTCAAAAACCCAACACTCTCATAGGTAACCTATCATATTCTCTCACTTTCATTTGACTTGGGGTTTTATGATGACATTAAGCTTGTAATTAAGACTTTTGAGAAATTTCTCAATGATTTTGCTGTTGCACATTCGAATTACATAACAAAATGTTGTGGTTTCAAATTTAATCATATAATAAAATATGATGAAATGTAATAAAATTTACTATTTAAGCATATATAATAAAATAATGTCATATTCATACAGAGTCCTGGTACTTAACAAATATCATATTCAATTTATGCTAGCATATACTGTAACAACCAGATATATATTGTATATATATATATATATATTTTAATTTTTGAATTCATGTTTATCCATATAATATATATCTATGTGGAATTATGAGGGTTATCGTATAATGGAATTTGAGAGATATCAGGCTCTCAGTTTAGTTGATTTTTATTTTTTATTTATTTTAAGAGTCCATATAGAACTCAACTACTAGATATATATCTAGACTTGGTGTATCGGCATTATTTTTTTTTATGGGCAATACTATTCTGTAAGTAACGAAGAGGCTTAAGCAGATTCCATTGTCAGGCAAGTTAATTCTTACTTATATCTTGTATATAATTTTGTGATTGATAGTAAGATGATTATCTATGAATTTTTTTATATCACTCATGATGTTTCATTTTGGTTAGAGTAGTAGAAATTGTATATATAAGTCTTGAATCTGGAAGTGACTTTTCTTAAATTGCAAAGCTGCTATTTATTTCATCTGCAGGCTAGATCTTATATACAAAAATAGATTGTTTCTTTATTATGGATTTCTTGTAAAGAGGGGTGATGTTACTAGTATGATTTATGAAGTATGGTAATAAGGATTGTTGGTGGATTACTTAATGCTATTCATGTTAGGCGAGAATTTGAATGATAAAGCATTATTTTTTGATGATATGAATTAATGATCTGGGTAAT